AGCGAAGAAGCCCTCAACGGGAAGCGGCGGCGCAGGCCGACGCAGCCCCCCCAGCCCAAGCCCGGCCCCCCCTCCCCGTGAGCGTCTGGATTCGAGATTATAGTTCGCTTTTGTTCCTTGCGGTCGAGGCTAAATAGAGCACTTCCGGACAAAGGTCTATGGAGGCTACCTACAAATAGGGGTGTCGCGAACTTCTGTCGAACCGGATTCTTAGGTCGAACTTTCGGGGTTCGACTGGATCGAACCGGTTCGACGAACCTTCGGACTTTTCCGACTTTTCACCAGATTCGACCGGTTCGACCAAGGAGGTTAGAAGTACTAGGAGGGGGCACGTTGCAATATTGGTGAAGCCTAGTCATAAAAAGTTTAAACGATTTTGTGCCCAGCGTGACCGCAGATCTCTCTGGCGATTGGTGCGCGTGACATGTCACGTGTGAGACGGATGGTTGATTGTAGAAGGACTCCTTGCAGGCTTGCGCGCGCTCCGTCCGGTAGGTTTTATCGGATCGAAGTCTAGACTGTGGTGCATTCTAGTACCCTATAGCAAGACGAAGGCTAACTAAGGTCACGTGATGTGGTCACGTTGACATGGTAAGTGAGGAGAGTAAGGAGGAAAATGAGAAAGAGGCGAGGCGTCAAGGGAGCATGGCTTGTGGAGGCTACGCGGCCGACGTCATGCCCTCTCCTACCCTTCTATTCGTTCTATTCTCCATGGGTTCGACTTTGTGGACACTGTGGCCAGACCTTGATACAAGCATGTCTAGGTTTGGAGAATTTTAGAGCGCAGCTCTTAGGCGCCCGTTCCCGGCTTGAGCGGCGTCGCCGTCGCCGTCGGCGTCGGCGTAACCGCGCGGTGCATTATGGGTAAATTTCCCCGCTAAATCTAGCGGAAAAATTTCCCCGCTAGATATAGCGGAAAAATTTCCCCACTAAATCTAGCGGAAAAAATTTCCCCGCTAAATCTAGCGGAAAAATTTCCCCGCTAAATCTAGCGGAAAATTTTCCCCGCTAAATCTAGCAGAAAACTTTCCCCGCTATATTTAGCGGAAAAAATTTCCCCGCTAAATCTAGCGGAAAAACTTCCCCGCTAAATCTAGCGAAAAACTTCCCCGCTAAATCTGGCGGAAAAATTTCCCTGCTAAATCTAGCCGAAAAATTTCCCCGCTAAATCTAGCAGAAAAACTTCCCCGCTAAATGTAGCGGAAAAATTCCCCCGCTAAATCTAGCGGAAAATTTTCCCCGCTAAATCTAGCGGAAAAATTTCCCCACTAAATGTAGCGGAAAAATTTCCCCGCTATATCTAGCTAAAAACTTCCCCGCTAGATCTAGCGGAAAAATTGCCCGCTAAATCTAGCAGAAAAATTTCCCGGCTAAATCTAGCGGAAAAACTTCCCCGCTAAATCTAGCGGAAAAATTTCCCCGCTAGATCTAGCGGAAAAATTTACCCGCTAAATCTAGCGGAAAAAATTTCCCCGCTAAACCTAGTGGAAATTTTTCCCCGCTAAATCTAGCAGGGAAATATTGGTCACGTGACCTGGGGGGTCACGTGACTCCCCCTCCACGTGGGCTCCCTCCCTGAGGTCACGTGACCCCAACAAGGTCACGTGCCCTCGGGAGGGGGGGGGGTCATTTGTGACCCTTTCCCTTATGTCACGTGACCCCCGAGAAACCGTGGCCCTCATTACACTTCCCTCCTCCTCCTCAAGAGCTGCGCTCCGATTCGGCGTTACTGGGAGTGGTAAACAGCTTTCACTTTTTAGAGCGCAGCTCTTAGGGGCCCGTTCCCGGCTTGAGCGGCGTCGGCGTCGCCGTCGGCGTCGGCGTAACCAAGGTCACGCGACCCCCAAGGTCATCCCAAGGTCACGTGACCCCCAAAGGTCACCCCAAAGTCACGTGACCCCCAGAGGTCACGTGACCCCCAAGGTCGCCCCAAAGGTCACGTGACCCCCAAGGTCACCCTAAGGTCACGACGTGACCCCCGAGGTCACGTGACCCCCCGGAGGTCACGTGACACCCCCCTCGAGGTCACGTGACCACCCCCAGGGTCACGTGACCACCCCCCAGGGTCACGTGACCACCCCGCCAAGGTCACGTGACCTCCCCGATGACGTCACCGGCATCCGCATCGTCATCGTCATCATCACTGATGACGTCATCAGTGGTCACTGATGACCTCACCGGCATCCGCATCGCCATCGTCATCATCACTGATGACGTCATCAGTGACATCACTGATGACGTCACCGACATCCGCATCGCCATCGTCATCATCGCTGATGACGTCATCGGAGTCCGCATCGTCATCGTCACTGATGACGTCATCAGTGACGTCACTGATGATATCATCGGCATCGTCACGTGACCTCCAAAGGTCACGTGACCCCCAAGGTCACGTGACCCCTCCAGGTCACTTCACCCCCCCCCCCCAGTACCCCTCCCCCTTACTCCTCAAGAGCTGCGCTCTAATTCGGTGTTACAGGGAGTTTAAACGGCTTCCACTTTTTTTTTTGTATGCAATGGGTTATTTTATTTTATGAACAGTTGCAATTAGAAGAAATAAATTCTTATCGCTGAAGAAGTTAAGAACTTAATTTTTTGTACTGAATTAACTGAAAGAACCAATCAGCGCTGCCCCTCATTCATCTCTTAGCCATCACCATCCAATCCGAAGCCAACTGGTCTGCCTGTCGCGCATGCGCACACGGGTCGAACCTTAATACAAGGTTCGCCGAAATTTTCACTAAAAGTTCGAAAAAGTCGAACCTGGTCGAACTCGAACCGCGGCCGGTTCGCGACACCCCTACCTACAAAAGTCTAGGGAGGCTCAAGTGAGGGTAAGTGCAACTGCTAGATCGGCGATCACGGGACATGGACGCCATTTAATTGCTAAATTTTGCTGGGAGTCTATGGGGCAAAGGGTCGTTTTCTTTCCTAACTCGGGTCATAAAAGCCCATTAAGGTGCTTGAATAATTTACACAAGGTATAAATGATTACTTTTCTATAGCCACCAGTTTTGTTGCGATAGGTTAAGTATTTTTTTAACGCAATAAATGGTAAATTCCGCCATCTTGGACGTTGCTGCTTGTCTGGCAACTTTGCTTTCTCCGCTCGACGTTTGCAATTCTCGGAGCGAGAAGGAATCGAGAGAGGCTGCCCCAAGGCGCTCGTTGCTTGCAATGGGAGGCGAGAGGAGGAAAGGCACATGGAGCAACAGAGTAGCAACAGAGCGGGCGCCTGCTCTCGTGCAGGCAACACTGGCGCATATCCTTTCTCGAATCCTCTCCACCTCTCCCTCATGCGCCGCCATTAAATTGCAAACGCTTTCCAGGTTTTGAGTTGCGCCCACCCTCACTACTAAGGGTGTCGCGAACTTTGGTCGAACCAGATTTTTTGGTCGAACTTTCGGGGTTCGACGAACCTTCGAACTTTTCACCAGATTCGACCGGTTCGACTTTGTGGACAGTGTGGCCAGACCTTGATACAAGCATGTCAGGGTTTGGAGAATTTCTTTTTTTATGCAAAAAGTTATTTTATTGTGTGAACAGCTGCAATTAAAAGAAACTAATTCAATTCACTGAAGAAGTTAATAACTTAAATTTTAGTACTGTATTGACTGAAATAGCCGATCAGCGCTGCACTTAATTCATCTCTTGGCCATTACCATCCAATCCAAAGCCAACTGGCCAGCCTGTCGCGCATGCGCACACGAGTCGAACCTCAATACAAGGTTCGACGAACTTTCCACTTAAAGGTCGAAAAAGTCGAACCTGGTCGAACTCGAACCGCGGCCGGTTCGCGACACCCCTACTCACTACAGCCCCCCTACAAAGGTCTATAGACACCAGCGCCACTTGAACCTCTATACAAAACTTGAAAGTATAAAACAGAGAGGACGAGGACGAGAACAGGACATCTTTCAATTGTAACTGAACCTCTAGCGTACATTATAATAACTATTGGGGAGGAGGACAGACCGTGACGCCCCAAGCGGTTAACTTAACAACTACATGGATGGGGACAACAAATACAATGACTCGGCGCTCGGCCGACATAACCGAACGCGGCGTCAGCGTTCGTCTGGAGTTCGTGCTCTCCGGCGAGGGGGAGGAGGTTTTTTTTTTTGTTTTTTTTTTTCCACTATGGGCTGCATGAACAATGCAGCATGCACGATCCCAGCTCAGCACAAAAGCCGAAGTGGGTCAAGCTCGCATTCTCTGAGGATAGATCCGGCACTTAACGTTGCTTCGTCGATTGTTAGTATTTTTTACATTAAACTGTGCCCCGTGCTCTAGTGTAGAAGATGATATGGCTATGCCCATAAGGCCTGTCGGCATGTGCACAGGCCTTGTGTTGAGTAAACACCGAGCGTGGGGAAAACAAACGGGTCAGAGCGCCCCCTATAGTTCGATCTCCTGCCCAATATGGTCGTCACTTCTGGGTTTGCGCTGGAAGGTGTTCGCAAAAAATGCGTGACTGTCATACATTCTTTTTTTGCCTCACCTATATTTTTTTCGCATATTACAAGTTGAAATGCTTTATTATTTTTTCGTCCATATGGAACCCATTTGACTCAGAACGAAAGGAAACGAGGAACGTCTGATTTTTTTTTTTTTTTATTTGGAGTGTCCTAATATTGGTCTTTGCGCCTTCAAAAAGTCTTGGGAAAATTTATTTGTTGCTCTAGACTCCATTTCTTTTGCTCTATCAGAAAACATGCGAAGAATCTAACAGGGTTATTTTCAGCAGTAACATGCCCAAGCCTGCACACCGGTAGGCGGTGACGCGCGCTTCGCTTGCCCTCCTGTCGAATCGAAACTACGCCCGGTTATCAAACCAAAGTATTTCACCATTTCGGTCATTGGCCTAGTGAGACAGAAAAAGGACGCACTCACAGTTTGCTATCAACGCCGTTTATGTATATAATGATCCAAACATGGCGTGTTTTGTGCACGTGACGTATTTTAGCCAATAGAAGGGGATTAGCCAGCCATTGAGATTTGTGGTTACCTTACGCCTTCTCCCAAATGTGTACTCTGTCGTGCATTTACCCGTCGGAATGTGATTTTCTGGCGTGTTTCGTCAGATTTGGCCGTCAAATCGTTCTGAGTTTCGCATGAATATTGCACTGCCATTTGGAAATATCAGCATCGAATATTAGCTGTATCATCCTCAGTACTGGGTCAGGGTGCCTGTGCCGTATCTTGTCCAGAAGAAAGATCTCTGCTGTGCTGTCAGTATGGAAACTGCGTTTTCCTGTTCGCCGTGTTCTGCCAGGTTAGCAAGGGAAGAACTGACCAAGAACTGACTCTGCCTTTCACGCTCATTTCTCATACTACGACACGCGACTAGAGTCTACTCCCATAGTGCTCGCGTGAGTAACTTAAAAAAAGGGGAAGTCCGTTTTCGTCCCCGTATCGACGACGGTGTGCTGGTTCCTTTTTCGGCTCGATTTCGTACAGTGATCGAGACCCTTTTCGATGGAAAACCGCGGCTTTCCCGACGCACCCGGTGCTTGTGGAGGCGACGGCTACGCTAGGGAGTGCAACGGGAACTTTCCGCCCCACTCATCTCTGTCGCCCCTCGCCGAATACACCGGCGTCTACCACTTCGAGCCCGGCCTGAACCGTCCGGCGAGTGCCGCGTCAGCGTGGAGAGATTCGAACCCACAGGGTTATGTGGACTACGGCAACGACTTCTATGCTCGCAGGCGGGGCTTCTCAAATTTCTCCGCTTCTCCAAACGCCGACGGTAGACATCCCCAGGACGGCGGGATGACCGCAAAGAAGGTCGCCGTTCCGCAGGAGAGGAACAGGAGGAAAGGAGAGCCATTCCGTTACGACCGTCGGTTCTCCAATCGAACCCGGACCGCGGTGCACGAACCGCAGCCTCCGCGGGAGGAGCACGGCTGGATAGACATGCCGGACCAGGTTGGCGTCGAGCAGTTCCAGCCTCACGGCCAGTCGACGAGAAGCTGGGAGGACTCGGCAGTATATTGGGGCCCCACCGTCGGCGCAGCGCCTCACGCGAAGGGCAGGGGCCGGAACCGAAAACAGGATCACGACCGAAGACGAGTGCCCAAGGTGGCCGACCGCGGCGAACCTAGCGAGAGCGGGGCTCCAGAAGCGGACGGTGGCCCCTGCCTTCTTGAGACCTTCTTTGGCATTAAACCTTCCGGGCATAGTGACAGCAACACTCTATCAAACCCTCAAGGAGTTGCAAATGGTCGAGACAAGGAGCCCGTCACCGACACCGAGGCTTCTCCCACAGTTCGCAAGGAAAAGCCGGTTCGTTCAGCGAAACGGGGACGGTCGCAGCCACGCCGTCAAGGAGAGTGGAGGGAGAGGCCGCCGGCAGAGCATGCCAGGGACATGGCAGACGACGCGGGGACTGTAGCAGACGATGGGGCACCATCGAGGCAGAGGGTGCAGAGCACTGAAGGGCAGGGAAGGAAGGAACCGAGGCAGTTCCGAGAATACGGTGGCAGGGAAGGCCGTAATGGGTGGGGACAGGATTCCGTGAGAGGCGGCCGGAGAGACTCGTCGGGTAGGACGTATGACAAAAGGTCCGACAGAGATAGGTGCAATACTCGGGACTGGAGGAACGACTCCTCTTCCGGTGGATTTGGACGGGAGGACGATCGCAGAGCCCAGTGGGGTGGTCGCGAAAAGTCTTCGAGGGCAAGCGAGTCCCCTTCTTCGTCGAGTAAACGATCGCCTCCGGCCAACAAGAGCTACCCCCAAGTCAACCGCAGGGACGATGCTCCCCAGAAGGGTAAGCCAAGCTTGTTACGCCTTCACCAATACACCAACTGAACTCTGACGTCGCGCCACCCTGGTGGTGCTGCTGTCCATATTATGCATGCGCAGACGCTTCACCTTGTGGGAATCTGGCTTCGGAGTATGTGCAGTGTCTACACTTGGTGTGGGCAAACACGGGCTTGTTTCTAAGCAGTGTGTTGGTGTATAGCAAAGTTGTCCACTCTTCCTCGGTTTGTATGCTTGAAGAACTAGATTCGGCATCAACATTTTTGCGGTACCTTGTCATAGTATCCCAAAGCTGCAGCCCTGCATTGCTGCTCGAGCACGTGGGTTTGTTTAGCGTCTTACCTGCCTTGTGCTCGAGCAAGTAGCTTCACAGAGCAGGGAAAAGTTCGCTGACCTGACAACATGGCGCAAAAATGTTTATGCCGACTAGAGCACCGCCGTCAACATTAGTGCAGATTATGCAGTGCATTCTGAGAACCTTTACACTTCACGTACCGAAATTTGCTCAGGGCAAGAACTTCACACCGGCTTGCGGGAACAGCTGCAATAAAAACCACTTGGCACAAAACATGCATTGTCACTGTCAACGTAAGCTGTGAATTATGCTCTGTCACGCTCGAGAGCATAACTGTTGACAAGGTTGGTTTACGACAGCTGTCCATCGAAACTTGATCCTTACGAGCCTTCAACACTTTTCAGAATACTAATCCATTGGATACTTAGTCTTTCTTTGTTCTCTTACCCACAAAACTTAATTTAGAATCGACAATTTCCACGAAAGAAGAATGCCAGCCTGTTTGCTTGCTGGCGAACAGGCTGTCTCTTGCCTCCTCGATCCAACTTGATCATAGAGGGCCACCATTTTGAAACTGTTGACGTGGCTCGACGTGATTTCGAAACAAAGTTTGAGCATACTTTAGGAGCATTTGGCAGCTCTACTCGGGACTCGTTTCACCTCAAGTCTGAGCGTAGCCAACACTGAGCCGAGGGGATCGATTGAAGAGAGCTGAACATGCCACATCACGGTATTTGTTGTCTCACTGCGCACCTGCTGTAATCTGCTGAACCAGTCAAGCACAGTAAATATGCCGTGACCTTGAGCTTTTAAAATGTGTGTTCATGTTTGTATGTCTTCTGTTGGCAATTTTCGTTGCATGCTTTTTACGTTCCTCACGCTTTGTCTTTAGACGGCCAGGTGCTGTGAGAATCAGATTCGCTATAGAAAGCTGGCGAGCAAACCTGCCATGACAGCTTTCTGTTCTAGCCGCTAGGTGCCGTCGATTTCGCAGAAGTCGCCCTGACAGCTACACTAACCCTTAGCCACTCACTCACCATAACCCTCACAGCCACACTCACCTTCAGCCCTTCACTCACCCTCGCTGACCCTCACGCCCCTCACACCCTACATGCACTCACCGCCCTCACGGACCTCACGCACTCATACCCCTCACGCACTCATGACCCTCACCGCCTTCATGGCCCTCGCACACTCGTACCCCTCACACACTCATGGCCCTCACACCCCTCATGCACTCACCGCCCTCACAGACCTCACACACTCGCGGTCCTCAATGCCCTCACGGCCCTCACAGCCCTAACAGCCCTCACACCCATCACGACCTCACGCTCCTCACTCACCCTCACACATAAATTTTCTTGTTTCAGAAACTCACTCACCCCCTCCTCACCTGTGAAGATGAGGGTGAGTGAGGGCCCTCATGGGTGAGGTTTGCCGTGGTATGGTCACATATGGGATGATAATGGCTGGGAGGATGATAACGGGTAGGAATGGTTGGGTGGATGCTAACGGCTGAAGCGATGGTAACGACTGTTATTGAAGGACTGAAGGTAGGTAGCTTGTGCTGGGGGTGGGACAACTGAGACTCATCCTTGCTCTTCTAATCCTGTCAGTGACTATAGCCTTTGACTTTTTCTTTGTTGCGGTGAAATGAAGTGTAGGAGTGATTGGCCATTTTTTCCAAAGTTGAAGCGGCCAAAACAGGGTTGAAACTTCCCAATCGAGGTGTTGAGGGATTGCTCGCAGTGCGGCTTCGTTTTCGGGGCTGCGTTCCAGACTGGCTGTCCTCCCCTCGCAGATCGGCTGACGGAGCAGCTGCTGTCTGGCGAATATGAGTGCCTGGTGTGCTGCGAGCGGGTGCGGGGCTCGGAGCACACCTGGAATTGCGCCAGCTGCTTCCACATCTTCCACCTGCACTGCGTGCGCAAGTGGGCACTGTCCCCGGCCGCCCTCGTCAAAGGTGGGCCCTCCTGGAGCGCATTTCCGACCAGTGTGTTAACTGTTTTTAGTGTTTGAGAATTTATGACCCCCAACTGCTTAATTATTGTCTTCAAAATCAAACTTGTTTCCTCAAAATCAAATTTCTAGCCACAAACCGAATGGGAGCAAAGTTTAAACAAATACAGTTCTGCCATCTGTTGGCACAGCCACAAACTAAGCCATGGGTAGGCCTGGTTCGTCCAAAACAGTTGAGTGCTTGAACTGGGGAAAGCAGACGAGCTAGGCTTGTCCACCACCTTCAAGTGTTGACTTTTAAACCAGTCGCTCAATATTGATAAAATTTAAAGGGCCTGTTTATCTCGTCGCCTTAATGCACCGTATGACGTTTCATCTCCGTGGGACAATGTGCCGATAAGCTACATGGGGAGGTATACAGCTGTTGATACAGTTTGCCTCACTTAGTGAGGATATCTATCATATAAAATTGCTGCAAAATATTGAGCATTTCTAAACCAGCCGTAACTAGAACAAATGGAGGGTGTGGCTATTTATTGTTTGCCCTGAAATCTGCACTTTTTCTGTGCAAAATGACAATTTGAAAAGCATTCCACATAACGGGCCTTTTCTTCTCATCAAAACCCTACTTTTTGGCAATAAGAACTTAATTTAAATAGAAAAATAAATATCTAGCCCCCTTCTTCATTAAATTTTGCTTCAGAAACATCCACAGTGAAGAATAAATTCTGCAATTCATTGAAATGATAGGTTTCTTGAAACAAAAGTTGCTGCAAAAAATGAAACCCAGAAAAATCTATTTAAAGTTTCCACACCACTACATTTGGTTTTATTGGTGGTGGTGGCAACCAAAAAGGCAGCAAGAGCATAGGCAGTGCCTTCTGCTTACACCCAATCTCCTGCATGGCCTTGCCGAGTGAGTCTTGGCTTAAAACGCCTTCTTCGAGTGTCATTTTGTTGGCGACATCTGGATATTGATTATGAAGCAAGTAAGGAATTGGATATGCTCGCAGTACACGAACCAGTGTCAGCAATAATGGGCGGGGCAAGCATCGTCGAAATACAAAGCAGGCAAACCACGTGAAAGCTTTACTTCAAAGTGGACGCCAAAATTGCGCTTTCTTAAGACACAAACTGTTGGGCTCCTTGCAAATTTGTGAGGGATGTGTGAGTCTAGGATAGGTAAAACTAGTACTACAAGGTTTTTTATGCGTTGCCAAATTTGCAAGCACTCTAATGTTGGGAGCATATTTTTCCATCTAGGATGTGTTGCTTATTAAACATGACGGGAGCGAAAGGCAGATAAGGACACGAAGAAGAGTGATGCTTCTATAGTCTGTTGACAGTTAAGAAAAGCAGGGAAACCTCCTCTCACAGAGCCCTTTACTCTTTCCACTTGAGCAGGGCTAGCACTGGAGAGGAGGCGGTAAGGGACTCGCCCCCTTACCTCGCCCCAGTGTTCGCTTTGCTAGGGAGGGAAAAGTGAAGGGCTTTGCGAGAAAAGCCTTTTCTGGTTTTTTGACCCTCAACAGACTATAACAATACATACTGTCTTTAGGTTGACATCAGTGTTTTCATAAGCCTTATAGATTGTTGAGAACCGAAGGAGCAAGACAGTTCAATTTTTATTTGAGATGATCCTGTCATTTAAAAAAACCCAGAACTTGTTTCTAAAAATTAAGGGTCGCAGTAAAGATGCAGATGCAGCTGCAACTGAACCTCTTTGATACGTTTTTCAGGGGATCGATGCAAATAAATACTGATAAGAGAAAATTGTAACAACTGACAGCTCTATAGTCTCGTCTCTTTCGTGTACTTGTCTGCCCTCAAACTATTTGTTTCATATGCTTCACCAACCATGCCACCTTAATAATATGGGAGAATTTTATTGTTACTAAAGCTAACCTTGATTGAGCCTTCAAAAGTAAAGCGTGCCATGGTCGAAAAGATCTGTTCAGCTGCCAAACACCTGTGTCGTGAGCTTCACCAATCACGCAATGCAAATATAAAATAAATAAAAAAATAAAGAGTAAAAAGATAATGGAAGAGGTAGGACGGAGGATTCTGATGATGAATTCCACTGGTCGTTTTGAAGCGCACAGAGATCAGGGCCCGTTTGCTCGAAGCGCTAACCGCGGCTAAAGTTAGCCGCAGTACCTAGGAGAGGGATTTTGATATCACATGACTGGCTCGGTTGGGATGCGGGGAAACATGGCGGTGCCCAGTGAGTGAGCGCCGGTCGCTTTGGAACTAATATGTCGTTGTAGCTGCAATATCGGGCGCGTTAGTCAGCAACGAATAATGCAGGAGGCTTTCGCTTTGCCTTACCTCACTTAAACCGCAAAGCATGGGCAGTGACATCGCCGCATTTTTTAGATAGTGTTTCGATTCTGGGCATTCCTGAGCCTAAATGAACGCGAGAATTGTCGGCATGGCAACGTCTTTGTAAAGCGGATTGTTGATAGCACACAAAAGCAGACAGCGTCCCGGCAGACTTTTTTCTAAATTATCCAAGCATCGCGAGGAGAACGCTGGAAGTGTAATTCCACGGTTCACGCGCTGACCTTCCTCTTATAAAAAATTTGAAGTAAAAAATCCTAATAAGGCTTTAACGAACGCGTGTGCAAGGCAAAATTCGTTTTATACTTTTTGCTTTAGAACGGTTACTACTGCAGATGCCAGCACGTGTGACGCGTGCAACTACAGTCGTAGCATGCACCTCGGTGCTTGGATAATTCAGAAAAAAGGTATGTTGGGACGCCGTCTGCTTTTGTGTGCTATCAACAATCCGCTTTCCAAAGACGTTGCTATGCCGACAATTATCGCGTTCATTTAGGCTTAGGAGTGCCCAGAATCGAAACACTATCTAAAAAATGCGGCGATGTCATAGCCCATGCTTTGCGGTTTAAGTGAGGTAAGGCAAAGCGAAAGCCTCCGGCATTATTTGTTGCTGACTAACGCGCCCGATATTGCAGCTACAACGACATATAAGTTCCAAAGCGAGCGGCGCTCACTCACTGGGGCACCGCCATGTTTCCCCGCATCCCTACCGAGCCAGTCACGTGATCTCAAAATCCCTCTCCTAGTTACTGCAACTAACTTTAGCCGCGGTTAGTGGTTTGAGCAAACGGGCCCAGTAGACCAGATCCGAGATGGAGCACGCAACCCGAAGGGAGTTGCTCCACCTCCAGATCCCCAGTGGAACATGACCCTTCTTCCGGGATCAGCGGATGCCTTCCCATCATTCACCTTCCCAAGAATCCCCTTCTTGCAATCCCAGATGTCGAAGCACATGTTTTCGCAATCGCGGTGCTGAAAACACATGTTCAACGCACGAGCGAAGTTAATCATGATATGAAAGATGCGTGTCGATAAGCGATGTGCATTAGTGTAGCCCACTTGCCCCTTCATCGGAATACTCGGGAACGGTGTTCAAGTATGTTACTATTTTCAGCCTCTTCTGCGGTGGTCTGAAAAGGCAGTCGAATTCATGCTGGAAATACAAGTAATCTTCGTTGTCGTGGAGGAGCTACTTGACGACCAAACTGTCATCAAGCAGAAGCAGCATTAAAGAGAGCGGCGCTTCGCGAGCTGCCATTACGAATTCTTCCGAGGTGAGATGCGAGATGCCCGGCGAGAAACGAAGTCACATGTACGCGCCGAGGGCTGGTCAGGCTGGCTTCCAGTTGAATCAGCCGAAATTGGCGGATTCACCAATTTCAGTGACATGGTGACTCTAAACAAGGCATCGCATGCCTTTGAGTTTGAGACTGGAGTTGGCATCCGCTGCATTCCCCATAAAACACAGTTCTGTACATGATGGTTTGATCAGTATATTGAAGGACAACTGCCAGCCTTTTATTCTTGCTAACGTCCCTCCACTCCCTTTGTTCCAACCAGAGGGCGGCTGGCGGTGCCCGGCTTGCCAGACGGCGGTGCGAGTGGTGCCGGACCGCTATGTGTGCTTCTGCGGCAAGCGGACGAACCCGGAGTGGGACCGGTATGGGGTGCCACACAGCTGCGGGGAGATGTGTGGCCGGCTGAGGGGCCAGGGCTGCACCCACCGCTGCACACTGCAGTGCCATCCAGGGCAGTGCCCGCCCTGTAGCGCCACCGTGCGCAGGGCCTGCCCCTGCGGGAAGCTCACCAGGGTTAGTAAACGCACTCCAGGATTTGCCCCAAAGCCGTGTTCTGAGCGTGGCATCACGACTAGGGCGCCTGCCCGAGACCACAATGTGCTGGCTCAAAATCTTCGCCGGAATTATGTCAGTGGCGTTCGTCTGCTTTTGCCTTAGGTCCGTCACATCTTTCTATGCGCGGAAACAGTGTTCTCCAGATAGCTCAAATCCTTTTGCGTTGTGGTCGACTGCACCAGCTGAAGTGGTCAGGAACGTAAAGGGGCATTGGCTGGTACACGATTTTCGTACACACCGGTCTTTATTCTGACTTCAGACGAGCCAGCACTCGAGAAGTTGGTTTGTCAGCAGGCATAATCGGAGGCTCTGAAGAGGAAAAAAAAACTAAGTAAGCTTGGGTTTAAGCATCGCAAATACTTCTCCGACCATGTTTCTTGAGTTCTGTTCTCTACTGAGCCGTCCACTTTTTCGAAAGGGTCATCGCTGGCGTTGATAAAACGCCAGCGATGACCCTAACGAAAAATCGCTTTTGTGTGTGCAAATAGGGAAAATAGCGGAAATATCCTCCGGCACAGGGCACTGCTTTAGGCAAAGCTTGCAATGCTCAGAGTCTTGTTGCCTCCTTTTTCACGTACACTCACTTTGCTTGGTTTTTGTTCACACTTGCACAGCCTCGCAAGATGCTTCTAGCAATACATACTGTCTTTATGCTCGACATCAGTGTTTTCATACATTTTGGTGGTAGTTAAGAGCATCAGACTTTCCAGCATTTCTTTCACATGAGCCTTTCGTCTGGAGGACTGCACAGATGCAAATATAATATTCAAACTCCAGCTTAATATTAAAGATTATGGATCACGGTTAAGACGCAGATACAGCTGGATGTTTCCAAGTCAGATCGTGCAATAACTGTCTGGGTCATATTTTTATATTTCTGTAATAAATATATGTGAAAGCCATGTTCTTGGGAGCAGCATTCAGCGATATGTGAACGCTGTAGCAAATTTTTTTTCAGACATATACCGTAAAATACTGGGCAAGCGCCCACTCAAAATTTAGAGATAATCGCAAAAAGAGGGGGAATGGGCGCTCGTCCGGTCATCAATTTTAGATATAAATGTACTGTGCATATTTTCTCAGATCTTAGAAATTTGGATATGGGCAAATGTGGGATGGGTGGATACGCGGTATTTTACGGTAATGTTTAGTAGCTTAAGGCATGGACATTGCCGAGATTTCACTATGCTAATTTGCACAGCTGCCAATGTCATACCAAAGCAGGCACGTAGTTAAAACTCTTTTTCATTTATTTTATAGACAATTTACAATATGCACACCAAATATTAAAAATCACAATTATATATTTTTATGCAAAAAAAAAAAAGAAAGAAAAAATATGAAACCCATAAAAAAATGTTTAGAGACACATTCACAAATCACCCAGCAAAGAACTTTCTATAAAACATTGTGAAATCAAAATGTATGTCTTGAAATGCAGCTTACTATTATATAAAGAATATTTGTTTATTCATTATTGTAGTTATGTTATTTTTTGTGAAACGTAGGTCATTTCTCTGAAAGTAACAAAATTGCACAACAATATTTTTAAAAAGTATATTTTTTGTTTGTTTTAAACTCTCCTTAACTTCTTGCAGTACCTTGAGCTAACTTGTGATGGCAAAATATTGAGTAGCATATTACCTCCAATTGAGAAAAGCGACCACAAACCTTCGCTCAAATTGAGCTACTAGCTTGTCTTCATTGTAGGGGCTTCGCTGCACTGTGTCGGCTCCAAAGAGATAGGCTCTAGAACCAACAGAGTGTACACAACGGTGCTGCTCTATTGCAGAGTGCAGAAGGACATCATACCTTAAAATCATGGGACTAGGAGGGGCAAAAACACAGAAAACACAACACAAAATCTCCAGAACAGCCGAGTTTATTCAACCACACCAAAACAAGGAAAGATAAAAAAAACAAAAAACAGAACATGACGTCGCAAAGATTTCACCAGATGGGGCTTGACAGGCTAAATTCGTGCAACACTAGACACTCTTCCGACAACAAGCATTTGTTGCGAAGCACCCGAAAAGATAATCACACAAGCTATAATGTGGAGCTCCAGGCCTGCTTTTGAACATTTTAAAGTTTTTTGTTTTGTTTTTCTAAATATAAAAGTAAACTTTGAGGCTCTGTTATGTTTTAGAAAGACCACTCACAAAACATAATGCACATTCAGGGGTGGAAGCGCTGCCCGAATTGCGCCACCCTGCGCCAATTCACTTCCCTGCGCCAGCCTGCTCCAAAACGCCAATTTCAACTTTTTTTTTTTTTTATTGTTTTCTTTAAATTTAGTGGAAAACGGTTGGCCACGGGCCACCATGAGGTGGGTACTTTTGCTTAGGTGTCACTGCGGGTGACTCGTACCAACTCGACTGGGGCTCCGAACCATGTCTAACCTCAGGGCGATTCGTCGATTTTAGTTCATCGAGAGTGCGATGTCGTTTTTTACTACAAAGAGTTTATATACGAACACATCGGTTTGGTTTCGGGCATAGTTGGTTGGCGCGGTTGGAGCGCGCATGCAGTTGCCCGTGGTCCCGATTTGCCGTGATCGTGGGAGTTGGTGCCTCGGCACCGGTGGGCTACCTTGGCCATTAACATGAGCAGAAGTGGTCTTTACTAGCTTTACCTGTCATTTGGTAGCGTACCATATTTGGACGCTTAGCCGTGAAGAATCGCGAGCACAGGCACATGGGTTCTCGAGCTCAATTTGTCTTGTCAAAACGAAACCAAAACCATCATTGTGTGCGCGAATGTGCACGCTGTCGTGTGTTGTCTACCGCCGTCAAACCACTGGCGAAAACAATACCCGCGATCTTAAGCGAGTTGGTTAATTGGCAGTGCTACACACTTTTTTGCTTCTTTCCTTTGGCGTGGAGGAGTGGGGGTTACATCAGAAATGCCGTAGAACACTCCCGCGCTGCCGATTCCTGTCAAGAACGCACCTTAACTTGCTATAGCCACTCTACTCGTATAAGTTTCTGGATTGGGGGGGGGGGGGGGGGGGGTTGGGTTTGGGGTTGGGGTTGGGGTTGGGGTTGGGGTTGGGTAGAGAGAAGTTGGTGGGCTTCTTGTCACGTAAGAAGGCAGCCTGCCCCGCAGGGATCAGCGCCTGATCAGCTACATCTCATTTTCAGTCTCGTTCAAACTGTCTTCTCTTAAAGCACTTCTACTGAGTGCACAAGAACTCATAAGCAAGGGTGAGGCAGTTAAGGACATGGACAAGGTGGGTAGTGGACACCTCCTGCTAAGAGATGTGAACTCTAAACTGCCCAAAGTACTCGAGCGCATAAAAGAAATTGACTCTGCTCTTCAAACTGTGAAAAAAAAAGGTGAACTTCAGTTGTTTCTAAATTACACAGATTCAGCTTAGTCACAACCATTTTTTTTTGAACATGGAGCCTGTGGGCTCTTCTAGTCAGTGTTTATGCTGTATATGTATTAGTGGCTGTGATATTTTTAAGACAATATATTTTTCCATCCAAAGTAATTAGATATAGCTTAGTATGTTAACTTGGGTGTAGGGATTACTGTATTTTATGAACAGGGATTAAGAACATTTGTATTTCATGAAAACAGGTCAGCAAGGACTGCTTTATTCTGAAACATGTTGTGGTACCTTAATTTTTTTTTTATGGAGACACGCAATGCACAGCATTTTATGGAGTACATAAGGTTGCGTTGCTCTTCTAGTCGATGCTTAAAGCTGCATATGTACGAGTGACCGTGGTAGTCTAAAGATATAAAATACACATTTTATTTTGCATCTGAATTTTTGTCAAATGTCAGTAGCCTTGTATTTTGTTACTAACTTGATATAGGGCTTTTTAAGTAGTGATTGAACATGTGTATTCTTTATTAAACAAAAGCTGTAGTCAGCGAAGGTAGTTTATCTGACACCTTGCAGTGGTTTCGTTTTCTGGATACATGTTTACAATTGGTCTATTGAGTAGACGTTTTGTACTGGCGTGGCTCAAGTTGTGCTTTTATTGTCGGGGCCTCCCATATAAAGTCTATCATGACTCTGCCTGCTGCCGGAATGGTTCTCAAAGCCTTTCCTTTGCATAAATTGCCAATATTCCATATTTCAATGCAATAGAAATAGAAAAATGTGTATGTATGTTGCTTGAAAATTATTCTGGGATGTGCATGCATATATTTTTGCTACATTTTCACATTTAGAAACAACAAATCACTTTTAGACATTTGTTTGACCTCCGTGACCTGCTCCAAAACCTACTTCTACGGCTACAAAACTAACTTTTGCTGCTCCCGAGCTGCTCTAAAGCGAGCCTTTTACTGCTCCAAAACTGCTCCAAATTGGGACTTTTGCTGCTCCCAGTCCTGATACAAAACGCTCTAGCCCGCTTCCACCCCTGCACATTTCTATAATACATAAACCGTTTTTCATCGGTATATCTTCGAACTATCATAGCCACTCCGTGCTATTTGACATAGTGCGTCGTCTGCTCGCACCCTACCAACTCCGTCACAGGAGGTTGCGTGCGAGGTGGCCCCACCAAAACATCTCGTTGCCAATAGTGTAATGTTCCTTCCAAGAACATGGCTTTCACAAATATTTATTACAGAAATACTATCAAACATATGACCCGGACATTCATTGTACAATCTTATGGGGAAACACCCAGCTACGGTTACAGTATAACCTCATGGTTCTACGTAACAACCAATAATGCTTTCGGGGCCTGTAGGTGCAGCAAGAAGCAACTCTTATGCAGAAATGTATTTCATGTGAACTTCTTGTGTCTATGGAGAACTACTATATTTATTCAGATTGATGGGAACACTAAATATTATGTAGAATAAGGGGCCTATCTGTATTTGTATTCGAGGAATGTCAACCCGTAAGAATGAGCAAAGAATTTTTGAAAAATGTTCCCCCTCCAAGCATGCCAGTGCAAAGCAGTGAAGTGTGACATGCACGCCGGTGTAAGACAGTGAAGCTAGAGCTTGTTGTGCAATGCATGATTGTGAATTCTAAACTACTCATGAAATGAAGGTAGCAAAACCAGGGAAACGGAGCACAACGAAAGACAATATGCACGTTGGAGAAAAAGATGGAAGGACAAACGGGTGATTGAAGAAGCTGGAATGTTTTGCAAGCCCACCTGGACAGAATTGCACAGTACGGAAAGCCGAAGACGGTCACGAAGAAGGGGGAGGAAGGTGGTTGAGAAAAAGGAAGCGGGAGGCGCACCGTGTCGTGTGGCAGTTTTTGGGCATAAGAACGGTGAAGGCAAGCTAACAAACGGGAAGTCAATAGTACAGATATTTCTATTGGGCATCGAACAGGACTGATGGTTGTAAACATAACATTGGGGAAAATAAGTAGGTTGAGAGCACATCACCGAGGTTCTACCGTACAAATAAAGTGCGTGTGCATTTGGACGCAGATGCAAAGTCTGTAAATTAGCGCTTAACTTGGGTTCACGAAGCTTGGAATGAAGAAATTGTTACCATACTACGTAGCTGGCATGGAAACATGATTGCCAGTTTTTGTATTTTTTCTTTCTGATAAACGACTTCGCAGCAAAACTACCGTCGTTGCGTCTCGTTAATATGAGCACCTCCGCTCCTCCCTCAAATTGCCCGTAAAAAACGAGACAGAAATGCACATATTGATCCAGTTCGTCCCTGAAAATGTGTTCTATATAGTGAGACACGACAGTACTATAGTATGTCGGAAGTTCTAGCATAGTCCCCCGACTTTTGCGAGGGAGTTCGTTATCACTGCGTCTGCCTTTCCAGCACGTGCGCTGCAGCCAGGAGCAAGAGGTCAGCTGTGGAAGTATCTGCGGGAAACTGCTCAACTGCGAGATGCACAAGTGCGAGTCGCCCTGTCACCCGGGTCCTTGCCAGCCCTGTGAACAGACCGTTCATCAGAGTAAGCGCCTCGCTTTACCTCGGAGTGCTCCGACGGGCTTTCTGCACTTCCGTAGTGTCACGCTCCTCGGCAGTCTCCCATCTAGAAGCATTAATTCTTGCTATGAAGCCCGGCTTGCATCTTCGACTTGCGCGTTTGTCGCTTCCTCAAATGTCCCTCAACTTCTGCCCCATGACATCGTAGAAGGTCCTGGAGGTGACGGAGTGGCGAAGGTAGATTTAGGAGGTGCCTGTTCCGCTGTAGGTTGCTTTGCAGCCAGACAGTCGACAAAAAACGGAGCAGACGCGAAACGGAACGCCGCTACGACAGTGACCCTTGCGTCTGCTCGCCTTGTTCTCTGGCGTTTCTACGACCGACTTCCAGGACTGCGACGTCGGACGACACCACATGGCGGCTCGTGCGACTAAAGTTGTTGCCGCTTTGCGTGACCACTTTCAACGCATGGGCGAGTTAGGACGCTGAATTCAGCAGTCGAAGGTGCGTCTGTTGGAGACTCGTATCCTTCTTGATTGAAGACGAGTTTCAGCCGCTGATGCAACGCTCGTGTCCAATCCGTGCCCCGCATTCGCCTTGTTAGGGTGATGCTGCACGTTCAGCTCTATGGTCTTGACAGAATGAATGATTGGGCAAGTTGGTAAGTGTTCATCTTGAAACAGCTCAACTAGACACGGATGAAGTGAGAGTCTGGGCGAAAGAAACGTTGACTAACAACTGACTCGTTGCATTTTTCAAAACCAGTCAGTTGTTAGTCGACCTTCGTTTCGTCCAGTCTCTCACTTTGTCCGTATCTAGTCGCACCATTTCGAGATTAATACGGCCTCCTTATCTTGATGAGGTTGCTCACCTGGCCCTCCTCCTGTTCCCTTTGCAGGGTGCTTCTGCGGCAAACGCAGCCAGGACGCCACATGCACGCAGGAGGCGGTCGCAGCCCGCGAGTTCTGCTGTGGCGACCCCTGCGGCCGGGCCCTCTCGTGCGGCCGCCATGCCTGCAAGGAGGAGTGCCACTTCGGGGGCTGTGGGCCCTGCCCCCTCTCACCCGCCTCCCTCACCCACTGCCCCTGTGGGAAGACCTTGCTGGCCGACGTGCCCGGCGTCGTGCCCCGAGAGTCGTGCGCCGATTCTGTGCCAACCTGCGGCGAGACGTGCGACAAGATGTTGCCCTGCGGACCCAAGGGTGAGGCCGCCGCTTCTCTCTCGCTTGCTGGCCGCACGGTCCAGAGCACGGTGTAAGATATATATGCCATGAAATCCCGTGAGGGCACCCTCCCCCAGAGATTGCCCATCCCGTCTTTCTGGCTAAATATCCCTAACATAAAGATTTCAAAACATCGCCCATCCCCCAATTCTCGTTGCACATCTTAGATAAGTGACTAGAGGTAGACTGTCGCAGGCCCGGTTTCCCATGCTTCTCTGTGGGAAGCACGCTTGTTTTAAAGCAGCAGCTTTATAGGGCCACCCAACCTCAGGAGCTGCGTAAGCACGAAATGTGTAGGTTGGTCGATGCACAACCGTGGAAGCCGAGTGCGTTGCTGACTGAGCTATGGACCCAGCATGCAGGAACGGGAGGAGCAGAAGCAGGTGGTATGAGAAAGTCAGTGGAAAGGAGAGGGATGGAAAGGGCAAGAAAGAGAGGGGCAGAAACAGGTGGTGTAGAAAGAGTGCGTGGAATGAGGAAGAGTGGAAAGAGCAGGAAAGTGCAGTTCCCCTCTCTTGATGACCCAGAAAATTCAGCGCAAAGGCTTTGTATCTGGGTGGTGCTGAAGGAAAGCGCGCGCAGCGTTGCAAAGAGACAATGGTGTGACGTAATCTTTCTGGGTGTGCCGCGTTACGTAGAACTCAACACTTGCGCCATGCATCTCGATTAGACACTGCTTCATTATTGACCTCAGCTTCATATTTTCACAGCGGCAAGAACAGTTTTATGAATGTGTTGAAGCAAAGAGATCTCTTGTGTGGTGTTGGAGCCAGCGATTACACAGGCCAGTGCAAATGCTCCGAGCAGAAAGCACAGGCGCCAAAATGCTATGGCAACAAAACATTTTTTTTTTTTACTTGCAGTTGCAGGCAAAAGGAATTCTGGGATCTGGCTGTATAAAACTAGCTGAGGCAGATGATGGAGGAGCAACTGCAGGGCTGGACTGCCCTCTCTCTCTCGTTCTTGCTCTTCTTAGTTACTCTTCACGTAGAACCTCTTGTGGGTTTTGCAACTGGCCTCTCTTTGGACTAACCGTGTCGCCCCTCCGGATGCAGACAACTGGCACCGGTGCGGCGTTCCCTGCCACGAGGGCCCGTGCCCCCCGTGCCCACGCTCGACGCAGGTGCGCTGCCGGTGTGGCGCCACCTGCCGGGAGGTGCCGTGCCCCGAGGTGGCGGCCATGGAGACACAGCTGTGCCAGCGGCGTTGCCAGAAGCGGCGTGGCTGCGGCCGTCACAAGTGCCTGGTGCCGTGCTGCGTTGACACGGAGCACCGCTGCCTGCTGACATGCGGCAAGCGACTCTCATGCAACTTGCACGTGTGTGAGGAGCCTTGCCACCGGGGAAACTGCCCCACCTGCTGGAACGTCAGTGAGTTCGCTTCCCACCGAGCTCTTTACCCGTCGGGGCTATTAAAGGGACAACGAGAATGCTTTTTTAATGCGGAATGTGTTTTACAAGTCGTTTTTAATTAGAAGATTGTCATGAATGACCAACACACTGGGAGCCTTAAACGACTTAAGATTATATATAATGCTTACAAAGGCCCAGATAAAATCATAAGAAGGACACTACAGCGGGGTTTGAGCCTGGGTCAGTGCGGTGGCATTTAGATACTACAGTCGAACCCGGATATATCGAATTAGGGTAAATTAAGCTTGAGTTAAATTTCCTGGTGTGTCTGCTAATACCGAAGGTAGCTGCAAACGGGAGCTTACCAAATAGAGCATCCAAAAGCTGCTAAATACAGTAGAGCGTAGTTGGCGGAGACTGCAAACACCTCCGCGCCTACACACGCGCCTGGATGGGACTTCCACACAGCATAAACGACAAAACACGGAAATAATAAAAAAAATGGAAGCAAAACAAAAAAGCGAGACGCATAAAAAAATCTTTTGATCTATCGAAAAATGTTAAGCAAGCAACAAAAAGAAAGCTCACTAAATTCAGGCAACAAAAGACGGAAGGAAAAAAAACAAAAAAACGGGCAAAGTGATAACGGCAAAAGAAAAACGTAAACAAAGAAAAAAAAAACTCACTAAATTCAGGCAGCAATGAAAGCAAGGCAAAAAAGCAAACAAGCAAGAAACCTGGCAAAGCAATTACAGCAAAAGGAAAAGGTAAACAAAGATAAGGCTTTCAAAGTGCGATTGCACAACCATTGTTGTCAACACACTTGACTTGTCGAAGACTTTTTTTTTTTTGCTTGTTTTATTTTGGGGCCAGGGAGTTGGCAGTGTTCAGGGAAAGGGCGCAGGCTACCTTTCCGACAGCGTGCTCTTCCTACTCTTTCATTGGGTATCTTCCAGCGCGTATGATGGCTTGGCAGTCTGCCAGACACGCAAGGCAAGCGATGTGCTCGCCACCAGCACAATCGGATTGTGTGAAAAGCAACAAGCAGCTGGGCCTCATTCGCTATATCGAGTGTCCCCACCATGGGAGTTCGATACAAAAAGACAACGCTCCTATACCGTATTTACTCGCATAATAAACACACTTTTTTCCCCGAAAAATTTACACATATTGGGGGGGGGGGGCATTCATTACGCGGGGTAAAATTTTTGCATTTATACACTTTGTGCAAATGTCATATTAGGAGCCAATTTCACACAGCAAGGTACTGTGGCACGTCCCCAGTGATGGAGGTGCAGGGGCGGACGCAGGTATTTCTTGAGGGGGGGGGGGTCAGGTGTTGGTCAGCGTATCGTATGTTTAAGACCCCCCCCCCCCCCCCCCTTTTCCCGTTTCTTGCCCTAATTTTTTACAAATGCAGAATTTAAGGGGGGGGTCAGGACATCGGGACCCCGCCTCTGAATCCGCCCTTGTGGAGGCGCACCCATGGCTGGTCGGGGCGCACCACAGTAACCATGCTTTACGAATTGCAAACCTTTTTAGGGCGCTTTCGGGGTGCCTTTTGCCAAAGGAAAAGCACCCTACGAAGCTCACTCAATGCGAAAAGCAACACGACCGTTCTTGGGATATATTGCTAGTATTCCGTGTGCACGCTCAGGCGTATCCGCGACTACGCGTATAAGAACTCGTCCGAAGTCCAATCCCCGACCGCGGAAGCCCGCTCGCATGGATCAAGTTTCGTTCACGTAGACAAGAACTCGCACAAAGTCCAACCGCCGACCCTCGAAGCCCGCTCGCACGGTTTAGGATCGTTCACGGAGAGGCTACCAGACACTCTCAGCCTACAGCGCAGCATGCGCCTCGCTGTGCCATTTTGTTACGGATTAAATAAATGCATTTAGCCGGAGTATGTGAAATTAGGCCTAACCACTTTCACGATTTCACTGTCCGAAAGCGGACCACAGACGATGGCTTGTTTGTTGACATCAATGCATCCGGTAGGCAAAGAATGTCCGGGCTCGGCAGTTCCTCGACCCAAGCTTCGTCGAGTGTGCGCAGCACTCGGTCATGGTTAATCACTTCCGTAACTACCGCAACTACGCACTCGCGGCCATTACAGGGGTGCGAGAGTGGCTTGGCTTGGCTTAACCGCTTGGCGGCAAAAGAAAAATGGCTTGGTGGCTTGCTAAATTGGATGCAATTCGAGACTCTCGGATCCGAAAATTGGAGGTGTGTTAATTACGGGAGGGAAAAAAAGTCAAAATGTTGATGCCTGTTGTGGGGAGTGCGTTTATTATACGAGTAAATATGGTACCATTACATGCGATTTTCAAGGGGATGTTTGGATTGTTTGATATAAACAATATTTTGAAATACCCAAGTGTGATACAACGAGCTTGAGTAAACTTAGAGCGGTACACCAGCGGCCAAAAATGGCACCCCCCCGGTTGCCGCCATCTTGCCTGTTTGCCACATCAGTGATCACGTGACGTTAAGATGGCTGCGCCCAGAGGTGGGCCAGATCAGATTGGCCAGATCACGGTCAGGAGATGGGCACTCTGGGGCTGCGTTCCAATCTTACTCGAATGGGTCCGCTGTTCCGGCGGGTCAAGTCACGTGACGAGACAGATACAGCAATGCTGGACGCGGGTAGGTTTTCGAACGCAACGGGTACCTTCACCCAAAAGTCACATAAAAGCTGCGTTCGATTTAGCTGCACCTCCTGCACCGGTGTAGGAAAGTGTAAGGCGGTGTACTTCCGGTCGCATCTCAATACACACACCGGAAGTAGACTGCCCTACACTTTTCTGCACCGGTGAAGGAGGTGCAAGTAAATCGAATGAGAGTGAGATAACTTTATCTCACTCCTGGGTGAAGTTCTCGTACCCGTTGCATTCGAAAACATACCCGCGTACAGCATTGCTGCATCTGTCTTGTCACGTGACTTGATCCGACGGAAAAATGCGGATCTATTCGAGTACGAATGGAACGCAGCCCCAGAGTACCCGTCTGCTGACCGTGATCTGGCCAATCTGATCTGGCCCACCTCTGGGTGCAGCCATCGTAACGTCACGTGATCACTAATGTGGCAAACAGGCAGGCAGCGGCAACCGGGGGGGTGCCATTTCCGCTGCAGGCAGTAGGTTCCGGTTTACCGCTCTAAGGTAAGACTCAAGCTCGTTGGTGGGATATAACCACTGTAGGGTAAATTACTTAATCTGAATCTGGAAGTGCAAATTTAAACCTTTTAGAGAAAAAAAAAGTAAAAGAAAATAGATTTTAGAAAAAAGTTCGAGGACACTGTAGAATTCAGCAGCAAGCGTACCGCCATGAAAGAACGACCATCTCGTCCGATGCCTCGTGATGAACTGATTTTATATGACATAGAAAAGAAGATAGGTTTCTTAAAGTGAGATATGTAGGACAATCAATAGAAGAAGTGAAAGAGAAATAGCAGAACACAACATTTTCCCCCCTGCCCTTTTGGAGAGAAGACGGGTATACAAGATGCACATAACAAAGCCAGTCATAGATATTATACATACAAAACGAAGATGCACGAAATCATAATTTAAAAGAAATTAAAGTTAAGCATTCATTATCACACTTGGCCTAGGCTATTTTTAGAGCATTCACACTCAACACTCATACTCTGTACACAATATCTCAAATAACACTGTCAGAAAGTTTTTTTACAGAATTCCAGCAAGTTATTTACAAAACTACGGCAAGTTATTTATCTAGCAAATAATTTCACTTCAGATAATAAGCGTTAAAGAAATATGTAAACTTCTCTTCCCCCCCCCCCAAGACAAATATAGACAACTGTCACGTCTGTCACCGCGGGTCAGAGACCCACATCTCTAAACCGCACAGATGGTCGGCGAGTTCGGGTCGATCGCTGAAGCTCTTCCACTGGGGGAACGGAAACTGCCACTGGAGGAATAGTAGCATCCACTGAGGGAACGGGAATTTCCGGTGGCAACCTCACTCTTTGGTGTGAACTTGGTGGTACCGTCACGGCACCCTGTCGAGATTCAAAAAGACCGGTTGGACTATCTGGGCACGCTTCGTCTCCATCCTCATCTTGTCCCCGTGGAGGTGGAAAAGGCGGAGGCATATGTGGCCTTAGCTGCTGCCGTGGCCACTGAGTAGCCTGCTTTAATGTGTTTGGCCGCCAATCATGATGAGGATGCTGGCTTCTAGAGGTCTCTTTGAGAATTCTCTGTGTAGGCAGGTGCTCAAAAGGCTGTGCCGTTGCTTGCGACGACTTCTCAACGGTATCTGTGACAGGTGGAGCCGTTGCCGCCGTAAGCTTGGAGGCGTTCCAGATGCGACTGTCATGAAGCTTGAAGGTCCATCGGCCGACACGCTCCACAATTTTCATTGCCGGACCGAAAGCTTGGTCTCCCTTCTTTACCTTTCCTGGCTTCCTGACGCGCACCCATCCGCCGACCTTGAATGTTGGAACTTTGGCTGCTCGCCGTCTGCCTGTGTAGCGTTTGCTGTGCTCTTGTCCCCGCTGCACTCGGCACCGCAGACGCTGCAGCTCCTCAAATGGGTTCTTCAAGAACTGCGATGGAGAAAGGCCAATGATGTGAAGCCGGTTGCGTGGCTTGCGTCCATGTAGCAGAACCGCAGGAGACAGTTCTGTCATTGCGTGCGGCGTACAACGATACACGCACAAGTAATCCAGAATGGCAGAGTGAATTGGACGCTTCTCCAGTGCAGCACACTGTAAGAACGACTTGAAGGTACGATTAAATCGTTCTACTTGCCCTTTCGCCTGTGGATAATACACGGAAACCAGGTGATGGGTAATACCTCGCTTAGCCAGGAAGCTCTCGAATTCTGCAGAAGAAAATTGAGGTCCATTGTCATACACAATGGTGTCGGGGTATCCTTCCCGAGAAAAGACGAGCCTCAGGAAACCGGTCACCGTGCTTGTCGTGACGTTGGAGCAAAAATGGACTTCAGGCCACTTTGAAAAATAATCCACGAGCGTGATGCAGTACCGA